TCGAGTCGATGCCTCGAGCAACCTTCGGCCTCGAGGCTCGTTAGTACTGACTTCGGAGCTCACTCCCAAAATCTCACTCCGACTTCTTACCACTTGAACTCGATCGAACGTAAAAAGGCCAAAATCTATTTCAACCGCATACATATATCATGAAGCCCCCTCATCGCTTTACGTCTTTAATCCATCTTTAATCCATCCGAATAGCTTAAATCTCACTCTTTCTATTACAAATAAAGAAGGGTTAAATGTTTTCTTATAAACAACACAGGTATGGGAGTTGGTTTTGTGTCCCTAGTGGTTGGGACAACTTGGCTCTATTTCAGCATCAAGAAAAGAAACCTCATTAAACTTCGGGAGAAATTCTTCCAGCAAAATGGTGGTTTGCTCTTGAAACAACGAATCTCTTCTAACGAGGGTGGAGTGGAAGCAACCAAAATTTTTACTGCTGAAGAGTTGAAGAAGGCTACAAACAACTATGCCAATGATAGAATTCTTGGTCGTGGTGGAAATGGAATTGTCTATAAAGGTATACTACATGATAATCGCATAGTTGCAATTAAGAAATCTAAGTTTGTGGACGAGGATCAGGTTGAACAATTCATCAATGAGGTACTTATTCTTACTCAAGTCAATCACAGAAACGTTGTGAGACTCTTTGGATGTTGTTTGGAAGCTGAAGTTCCTTTACTGGTCTATGAATATGTATCTCATGGGACTCTTTATGAGCATATCCATAACCAAAATGGAGCTCCTTGGTTATCTTGGCAAAATCGGTTAAGAGTTGCTACTGAGATAGCAAGTGCACTTGCTTACCTTCATTCATCCGCGTTAATGCCCATAATTCACAGAGATGTCAAGTCTGCTAATTTATTATTGGATGATGTTTACACTGCAAAAGTGGCAGATTTTGGAGCTTCAAGATTAATTCCACTTGATCAAACACATCTTGCTACATTGGTTCAAGGGACATTAGGTTATTTGGATCCTGAATATTTCCGCACTAGTCAATTGACTGAGAAAAGTGATGTTTATAGTTTTGGAGTAGTTCTTGCGGAACTTTTGACAGGAATAAAGCCTATTTCTAGGGACAAAAATAACGAGGACAAAAATTTGGCGGAGTATTTTGTTTTGTCCATGAGAAAGAATCAATTGTTTCAAATTCTTGATCGCAGAGTGGTAAGAGAAGGAAGCCTCGAGCAACTTCAAAAGGTAGCTGAGTTAGTGAAGAATTGCCTTCACTTGCACGGAGAAAATAGGCCTACGATGAAAGAAGTAGCAATGGAACTTGAAAGTTTAAGAAAGTTTACCAAAAATAACCCTTGGTCTAATGCAGAGAATGAAGATGAATCATCAGATCTTTATACAATTCAATTTGACTCTAATACAAGTATCAACAACTTATCTGGACAATACAATTCCAACTCCAACACAAATAGAACTAGCAATTTTTCCGGACAATATAGTGCGGATAGTTCTTCATTTATATTTAATAGAAATATCCCGCGCTGATCCAAACCAGAAGGCTAAAATATGATGATTGATGAAGATTTTCTGCAGTTGTACGTTCTTTCCTTCTTGTCTTTATTCAATGTTGAATTTTCTGATGTAATATGTTTGATTTTTGATTTGTTTTTTTCTCTTGAGAGTCAAAGTCCGACTAAACTTGTTAATCAAATGTGTTGTTTCTCATTTTTATATGAGAAAAAATTGTTGTTTATGGTATCTTTGTATATCATTTTAATTATTTATTGAAAACTAAATTGATTTATGTTCGATTTAGGAATACAAAGATGTGTTTGCTTGATCTAATTAAGGTCTCTCAGTTTAGGGTAACTCCTTTTCAGTTTATCATTTGTTACAGGCTTACAGCAATTCATCAACTTAATTGGTGTCTGCTCTTACAGAGTTGATGCAGTTTACAATAACCAAGAGGCAAGAGCATAGAAAGCAGGACGACAAAGTTGTTTTCTTGACAACATTTTAGCTAGGAAAGTGAGGAGAAATATAAATGTACAACAATAGTATAAAAAACAAACTTTCTCATAATAAAACGACAACAACAATAACAACAACAAAAACCTAGTAAAATCTCACAAGTGGGGCCTAAGGAGGGTAGTGAGTATGAAGATCTTACCCCTACCCACCCGGAGGAATAGAGAGGTTGTTTCCGATAGACTCTCGGCTCAAGAAGATGAAAAGAGACAATAAATCCGTTACAACAACAGAAACCAGAAAAATAATATCAGCATCATAAAAGACAGAAAATAGATGAAAAAGTAATAACAATAACCAGTAATAATGACACAAAAAACTATTATTATCTCATAATAAAACGAGAAACAATATATTTAAAAGCTAGCTTCAGTAGGAATTTGACTCTCAAGGCAATAGAATCCTTGACGGAAAAGTTTTCTATGCAAACCAAAATTCAAAGAGAAAGGTACAAATTAAAAGCAAAAAAAATTACATCAGAAAATTCAACATTGAAGAAAGACGAGAAGGAAAGAACGTACAACTGCAGAAAATCTTCATCAATCATCATATTGCCCTTCTGTTTTGGATCAATGGGATATTTGTATTCGGAGTACTATACATCAATGAAGAACTATCCGAACTATATTGTCCAGAAAAGTTGCTGCTATTTGTGTTGGAGTTGGAACTATATTGTCCAGAGAAATTGTCGATACCCGTATTAGAGTCAATTGGAATTGTATAAAGATCTGATACTTCATCTTCATTCTCTTCATGTCCATGTCCGTTAGGCCAAGGGTTATTTTTGGTGAACTTTCTTAAACTTTCAAGTTCCATTGCTACTTCTTTCATCGTAGGCCTATTTTCTCCGTGCAAGTGAAGGCAACTCTTCACAAGTTCAGCCACCTTTTGAAGTTGCTCGAGGCTTCCTTCCCTTACTACTCTGCGATCAAGAATTTGAAACAATTGATTCTTTCTCATGGACAAAACAAAATATTCTGCCAAATTTTTGTCCTCGTCATTTCTGTCCCTCGAAATAGGTTTCATTCCTGTCAAAAGTTCTGCAAGGACTACTCCGAAACTATAAACATCACTTTTCTCTGTCAGTTGACTTGTGCGAAAATATTCAGGATCCAAGTACCCTAATGTCCCTTGAACCAATGTAGCGAGATGTGTTTGATCAAGAGGGATTAATCTGGAAGCTCCAAAATCTGCCACTTTCGCAGTGTAAACATCATCCAATAATAAGTTGGCAGACTTGACATCTCTGTGAATTATAGGCATTGCCGCGGATGAATGAAGATAAGCAAGTGCACTTGCTGTCTCAGTAGCAACTCTTAGCCGATTTTGCCAAGATAACCAAGGCGCTCCATTTTGGTTGTGGATATGCTCGTAAAGAGTTCCATGAGATACATATTCATAAACCAATAAAGGAACTGCAGCTTCCAAGCAACATCCAAAGAGTCTCACTACGTTTCTGTGGTTGACTTGAGTAAGAATAAGTACCTCATTGATGAACTGTTCAACTTGATCCTCGTCCACAAACTTAGATTTTTTAATCGCAACTATGCGATTATCAGGTAAAATACCTTTATAGACAATTCCATTTCCACCCCGACCAAGAATTCTATCATTCGCATAGTTGTTTGTAGCCTTCTTCAACTCTTCAGCGGTAAAAATTTTGGTTGCTTCCACACCACCCTCGTCAGAAGAGATCCGTTGTTTCAATAGCAAACCACCATTTTGCTGGAAGAATTTTTCCCGAAGTTTAATGAGTTTTCTTTTCTTGATGCTGAAATAGAGCCAAGTTGTCCCAACCACTAGGGACATAAAACCAACTCCCATACCTGTGTTTGTATAAAAAAATTAAAATTAAATCCCTCTTTATTGCAATTAGAAAGAGCGGGGATTTTAGCAATTTGGACTGATTAAAGCTTCATGATCTAAGAGAATGGACATGTATGCTCCTTTACTGTGTGGTATCAGTTTGGCTGTTCTGTCTCTTTCTTTAATTCTTTTTATATTTCTTTTAGTTACTGGGACGGGTCACAGGTGTGTCTAAAGATTAGCGAAATATCCAACGACATCCTAATCAATAGTTACTAAAGAAGAAAATTGCATCTTTCCTAGTCATTCCCTAACTTTGAAAATACTATGTATCACATGTGAGTAGAGACGAGTTTAATTTCTGGGAAACTTACCTACAGAAAACTTAATCCATGGGAATTCAGAGTTCGAGCTTGGCGCAATACAGCCACGACCATTTTTTTTGCCATCACCGGTGTATCCTTCTGGACAAGAACAATTGTAACTCCCCGGCGTGTTTATGCAAATAGTTTCACATGAATTTGCATTTGGATCTGCACATTCATCAATATCTGACATGCAAAACACAGAAAATAAAGTCATATTTATCGCTGACGATTTGTCTTTTTTTATCTGTTTTTCTTTTTACACATTTACTAGCAAAAGTTGTCTAGAAAGACGTGAAATTGTTGAACGAATAATTCCAGCATTATTTTGTGCACTTATGGCAACTAGGACTATTTAATTAAGCTTGGCAACTAGGAACATTTAAACAGCTCTCAGATCTTGTTAAATGTGTTTTGCTCTGCCTTGCTCCTTTTCAATGTATCTTGACCTTTTCCACTTAAGATAACGAAACAAGTTGATGTTAAACCATATTCTTTATCATGTTTAAGGTACTAAATTATATGTACCTTGGAATCTTTAAACATTACTCTATGAAATAAGTTACTAACTAACAACCTCACTGCTAGACCAATGCAACTCAAAATAGTTTATTCAATTAAAATTACAGCGGCGTTGTCTCTCATGCATAAAGTCCTACTTATCTATAACATTATTAATATTCCATATATTTTCGTATAAGCTAGTAACAAATTACTATAAGCTGATGAAGAACAATTCGAATTCAACTTTTAAAAGTATTAAGTGAGATTTTAAAAAATAGAGGGGATCAAACTACCTCCTCCCCCACAAAAGAAAGAAAAAACAAAAAAGTAGAAAAATAGAAAGGAAAAAAAAAAAAGACTCGGCAATTTATATCTATTAAGTCAAACTTTGGTAAGAGGGATGAATTACTTATAAGCTAAGTTGGTCGGACTCGGGTGTGGATATCCGATACGGGTACAGATCCGAGAGTCGAATTCGGCAAAATCTAAATTTTAAGATTCGTGGGGTGCGGATCCGGAATTCCGGATATGGATATGATTGCTCGGATTCGGCTAAGAAAATTCATAATTATAAAAATATTCTAAATTTTTATAGAAGCAACGAATATGAGACAAAAGGACTATAATATTGAAGGTATGTCATTTCCCATATTTAAATTTGTTTTATCTTTTATTTGAGAAATCAAAATCTCAAATTTCCCCCCAAATTTGTCTATGGAATCCAGTCAAAGTATCTGAAGTTGGTTGACAATCCCAAACTTATCTCGCACCCACACCCGTCCCAGTGTCGTGTTAAGACGAGTTCGTCATAAATAATAAAGAGTTAGTGCAACTTAGGTGATAAGTCCAATCCAGGTTTGAACCCAAAGAGCAAACATAGAACTGCTACCTTAATACAAAAAAGAGTAATACTATTTTCTTATTAGTCCGTTCAGAAAACAACGCACTTTAATTTCTAAAGTCAGGAAAAATTTAACTTGAACATCCCATTTTGTATAGTGACAAACTTTTATAGCCATACAAATTTATGACATGCTTAAAAGTTTAAAACTTTTCATGTCCACACGAAAGTCATGACATATTTAAGACCACAAGTTTAAAAAAAGTTTTCATTTCATTCTTAAGTTCCGTAATCAATAAAACGATATCATATAAATTGAAATAGAAGAAATATCTACTAAGTCAAACTTCAATGAAAGGGATGTATTAGGGATTACTAAGCTTCACCTCCAATGTCACGTCAGGTCCAGGTTTGAATCGAAAGAGCAAATTGAGAACTACTATTGATTTTCTAGTAAAAAAAAACAATTCTTCTATAAGCAAAAAGGAAGTTCAAACATGTGAGAAATCAAGTTACCTAGGCAGCCAGAGCCAATGTATGGATTGCCTTGGTATCCGGAGTTACAGTTGCACCTATAACCACCAAGGCCAGTATCAGAATCAACGCAGCGACTATTTTCCAGGCAAGCATAATCGTTGCGTTTCTGTGCTTCAACACAAGTTAGATTTCCAATAGCCCAATCTAGCACAATGGGAACATTATCCATAATCTTCTTAACAAAATTAACATCACTGAGATCCTGTACACCCCTGAATTCGAAGCGACTCGCCTCACCAAGAAATGCATAGCCACATGGATTAAACGACCAAGATCCGCTGTGATTTTTCGTGCTTATCATAGACGTATTGAAATATTTCAAGCCTTTTGGTATTGTTATTTGGCAGCAACCAAAACCCATACATTTTCCTTCAACTACTTCCCTTGAGCTACTACAGAGAGCGGGGCAACCATTAGCGAAGTTACGTCCATTTATTATACCACCATCATCACAACCAACCACAGTGAATCTGCCCAGGTGAATTTACAATCAGTAAGTTTAGATGTAAACAGATGGCCAAATCAACTCATTTTTAGTAATCCTATCAATTTAAAACGGGTTGATTGATAGCATTTTTGTTGGCTTGATCCACTGGATTTCAATCTAATTTAATTTGGGTCAAAACGAGTTAAACTAGTATAACCCCACATGTCAAACTGCAATCCAAATTTAGACATACAAAATCAGATTTGAGATTGAAAATTATGTAAACATAGGAAGAATATAAACTACCCCTCTATTTCAATTTATGTGAACTTATTTTGACTGAGCATAAAATTTATAAAAGAAATGATTTTTTTTTAAAACTTGTGGCTCTAAACAAGTTATAATATTTGTGTGACTATAAAGTGGAGAGTAATAATTTAAGAGAAAACATTGGTTTTCTTTTCACCTTTTCTTTCAAAACAAAAAAATTAAAAAACGATGGGAGGTTGGATCATGTTAGACGGGTTAGCTTATGACCCATTATGTTTTTGACGCATCTTAATTCACCAATTTAGGCTCTCGTTTGGCCATAGATTTTAGTTTATTTTTTCAATTTTTTTAAAAAAATTGATTGTTTATGAAATATGATCATGTTTTGAGGAAAAAAACTTCAAAAATTTTCAAATTCTCAAAAATTGGTGTAGGATAGTTTTTGGGTGAATTTTTTTTTTTCCCACTCACAAAACTTCTAACTTTTTTCAAATAAAATGCATGTCCAAACACAACTTTAATATTCAAAAATTATTTTTCAACACAACTTTAAAAACTCTTTTTTCAAGTTTCAATCAAATCTATGTCCAAATGGTAGCTAGGTCTAAGCTAACTTCGATTGATTGAGCATGGCATATTTACTGATTTGACCCATTTATACCCGCCCAAGTTCAAATGAACGAGTCCATTTGCCACATATGAGCATTTTAAAAACAATCATGGTGCATATATATGATTGGAGCAGAAAACTATAGGTTCAGTTCTGGATAGGCCTACTACCTGTTGAGAGAAGAGAAACTGTAAGGACTTGATCTTCCTAAATTCATCCAAGCAAGATCATCTTGAAGCAAAGCTCCTGTTGATGAGAAACACTTCATATTTATGGTATTTGATATTCGCATTTCAGCATCTGAGATGTCGTAGACTTGGATGTTCCATATGAAGGGTGTTTGAGAACCTGTTGCATTTGTGACACAGTTGATCTCGAAACTTGCGTCTAAGGCACAACCAGATCCTAAGCCAATCCCAAATGGATATGGAACTGTAAGATTTCCACACTGTTTCGGACATCCTGGTTTTGTGATGTTAACAGCTTTGGTGATTGTGGTGGTCGGAGAGGTGGTGTTGGTTGGCGGCGAAGTGGTGTTGGTGGGTGGAGAAGTGGCGGGACTGGTGGTGGGAGGAGGAGGAGAAGGGGTGTTAGTGGTGGTAAATTGGGCGGTGGCTAATGTCGAGATTAGCAAAAAGAAAAAGAAACAGGGAAGTTGGAAAGAAATCTGAGCAACTTGCTTTTGCTGCATGGTTGTGGGAGATATAATAACGTAAAAGAACGTATTGAGTAACGGGTATCATATATAGAACTAAGAAGAAAATGGCTTACCAACTAAAATTTGTGATAAAGTATTCATTTATTTTTAAGAAAGGTTTGGGGCTCTAATTATGGAGTCGCTTCGGTTAAGGAGTACTTTACCTCTTAATATGGGATATTTCGATGCAAATCCGAACGTAGTTGGTATATCGAGTGGGAAACCAAAAAAAGAAAAGAAGAAGAAAATGACTTTAGATACTGAGATGCAAAGTTGAGTGGTTATTATTCCCTCTGTACATTTTTAGTTATTTATTTTAATTTTGCACTCTTTTTAAGAAAAAAATAAATGAAGCATGTATTTTATAATTTTACCTATAATAATGATAGCATTTTCAAAAGTTTTGACAAATGATTTAGGGAATAAGTAGTTAATGATAAGGGTAAAATGAGAAAAAAAAATCTGTTTAGTATAGTGGACAACTAAAAGTAAACGGATGAGTATAATTTAAAAATAATTGTTTTCTTTTTGTATATTGCGAATGTCAATGAGGCATACTAGTAAAAATGTCGACGACGCTGACAATCGTAATTTTGACTTTTTAATAATGTGCCCACCAAACAGCAAAGACTTTGACAAAATCAAAGTCGACAAGGAATCATTAAAGTGAATGCAGGTTAGTGATTCAATGGATACGAATCCTCGATATCGGGTCGAAATTTGAGCAGAGAAAGAAAAATTTCTGTTTGAGTTAATACAGTAAAATAATCGAGATGTGAGCTAAACTAATCTAAATACTAAATAAAGAAATGATTAAAGCGAGTTCTGGGGATTATTTTATCTGGTTTGTATCAATTTCAAACTAATCCATGGACTACGTTTAGTCAACGTTCTACTTTTTAACCTTTGTGTCACAGCAAGTCATGCACCATTTCGAAGCATTGTATAAGGTCCCTAATTTTGCACACTCATACTCTGACCATTATGACAGTACATATTGCCTGGCAATTTGCCATTTTGCAGTTTTATATATTGCTCTTAATATAATGTAGGATTGATACAATTTTCTTGTCCAAAAATTGTTTGAGTAGGACCTGTAGTCTGCAGTTTGCACTTCTTATTAAACTACGATATAACTCAATTTCCTCATTTTTCCGAATGTGTTATTTCTTCTAGAATTTTTTTTGTACACACACATGTCCTCTTCGTACACACTCGCAAATCCTTTGATTCTATTTGTTGCCATTTCAAACTTTACGGCCTCTAGATAGAAAACAAAGTAGTACGTAGGGTAAATGACTATATAACTAAAAGTACACGTACAATGGGCGTAAAATGGTTATTAAGATCTTCTCTGAAAGTAGTACGTAAGAATCTGTGTATAGGGTGTCTTGTAATTATTTCCTTTTTCCTCCTAAGGTTTTGTATACGGTTAAAGTCGGGCCCACCCGACGTTACTATTTGACAGAGACCGGGAGGTTGTATCGAAAGACGGCCTCGTAACGGAACAGACTAAATTACGAGGATAAGGTACCGAGTTCAGAATCGAGGTACCTGTCGAGATCGAGGCTAATAGCGATCGAAACCAAATGAGACAAACATCGAGTAAAATCGAAGATAGCACAATAACAGAAAGGCGAGATATCCGTGACTGGTCGAAGATCATGGCGTAAATTTCGGAACGGATCAAATCAGAAACGGTTAATTAGCTAATCATGAGATTTTCTTCTGTAATTAGAATTATACCATAAGTAGAATTCCTCTACTATTTAAAGGGGGTTCTAATCATTTGTAAGACACATTATTGACAGATATCAAAGCAATATATTTCTCTTTCTCATTTATACTATTGTTCATCGACTTGTTATATTTTAATTGTTCTTACATCAACCAGTTCGAGGGTATCCAAACTCGAGGGCTGAGTTCCATTCTAACACTGCTTTGCTTTACTTTATAGTTCATTTCTGTTATTAATCTTCATATTTATCAATTGGTATTAAGTGACATCACGTGTCCTTAGAACCACATTATAAATTTAATTGTTATCTAATTTTAAGGGTAAATAGTTTGGCGCCCATCGTGGGGCCAAGGATAGTAGTGGTTGCTTAATACTGATTCCGATAACACACACTGCTTTACATTTGTTCTCGTAAGAATCTTTATTTTCAGGATAAACATGTCAAACTCACAAGTAGCGCCTACACATGGTGACAATGGCCTCAGATTTAACTGGAAAAAATGACAATATAGTCGCCCCTGGGATCGAGGCGCCTCAGGCTGACCTCGAGGGAGCACCAATTGCAAATCCCGTCGATGTCAGTTCACATATCACCCTAAATTTAAATTTAGGCGTTGATCCCGAAGGTAGCTTATGCAGGGAAGTTCGATCAGGTGGTCGAGGTACGCAGAGCGGAGAAGATGGTGGAGTTAGCCTCCAATTGATATTCGAAATGTTACAGGCTCAACAAGCCGCTATAGCACAACTACAAAATCAGCACCGAATACCAAGTAGGATCGAACCAGAAGTCGTCCACAAGACCGAGCCTGTGCCGGAAAGGTCGAACGCCAACAAATCAGAGACTAACCCCGCCATTATGAAAATGCTCGAGGAGCTCACTAAACAGATTGAATCAGGAGAAAACAAAATCGAGGCAAATGACAAGAAAGTAGAGACAAACAACTCCCGGGTTTGACCAAATACCGGGGGCACCGCCGATTCTAAAGGGTATGGATTCAAAGAAATTCGTACAGAAGCCTTTCCCTCCAAGTGCGGTTCTGAAACCCATTCCGAAAAAATTCCGAATGCCAGAAATTCCTAAGTACAATGGGACCACCGACCCTAATGAGCATGTCACTTCTTATACATGCGCAATAAAAGGGAATGACTTGGAAGACGATGAGATTGAATCTGTTCTACTGAAGAAATTTGGAGAAACTTTGTCGAAAGGAGCAATGATATGGTACCACAATTTGCCGCCTAATTCCATCGATTCCTTCGCCATGCTTGCAAACTCCTTCGTAAAGGCACATGCCGGAGCAATAAAGGTTGCGACTAGGAAGTCGGACCTCTTCAAGGTGAAACAAAAAAATAATGAAATATTGAGGGAATTCGTATCTCGATTCCAGATAGAATGCATGGAACTACCACTGGTCACAGACGATTGGGCTGTTCAAGCCTTTACTCAAGGTTTGAACGAACGAAGTAACGAAGTTCGTTGGCATCACGACAGCTAAAGCAGAATTTAATTGAATATCCAGTGGTATCTTGGGCCGATGTACATAATCGGTACCAGTCAACGATTAGGGTCGAGGATGATCAATTGGGGACCCCTTCCAGTTCCGTTTATCCAAATAGGCCTGTCGGCAGAACTCAAAGCGATATCGACAGAAAACTCCCGTCGAACAGAGATCGGTATCAACCATACAACGCAGATCGTAGAAACAGCGGTCCAGGACACAATCCTATCCGAAATGATCGAAGAAACGATCGTGGATAGAGCTCTCGAGGGATTATGAGCAAAATTGGCTTCGATAAATATGCCGATCCCACAAAAGCACCACGATTATCAGAATAAAACTTCAGCATCGACGCATCAAGTATTGTGTCAGCCATTGGGAGAATTAAAGATACTAGATGGCCCAAACCCCTACAAACTGATCCATCCCAAAGAAACCCCAATCAAATATGAAAATACCATGGTACACATGGTCATAGAACCGAAAACTACATACAACTAAGGGAGGAGGTGACCCGTCTATTCAACAAGGGTCACCTTCGAGAATTCTTGAGCGACCAAGCTAAAAATCATTTCAGAGATAGGGATGCAAACAGGAAAAACGATCAGGAAGAACCACAACACATGATTCACATGATAGTTGGTGGGGTCGAGATTCCACAAGGGCCTGTGTTCAAACGCACTAAAGTATCAATCACCCGGGAAAAACGAACTCGAGACTATGTGCCATAAGGTACTTTATCATTCAATGATGAGGAAGCAGAAGGGGTCTCACAACCCCACAATGATGATTTGGTAATCTCTATCCTTATGAATAAAATTCAGGTTAAACGTGTTTTAATTGATTTAGGAAGCTCGACCAATATTATTCGATCGAGGGTCGTGGAGCAGCTCGGCATACAAGATCAAATCGTACCCGCAGCTCGGATTCCCAATGGCTTCAATATGGCGAGTGAAACAACTAAAGGTGAAATCATCCTACTAGTAAATGTAGCCGGAACTATTCAATAAACAAAGTTCCATGTGATTGAGGGCGATATGAGATACAACGCACTGCTCAGAAGACCCTGGATTCACAACATGAGGACGGTCCCCTCAACCCTTTACCAAATGTTGAAGTTCCCAACACCGGATGGAGTAAAAATGGTGTATGGGGAACATCATGCTGCCAAAGAGATGTTCACAGTCGACGAAGTAATACCGGTATCGGCGCTTTCGTCAATAAAGGGATCGGAGTCCAAAGGAAAACAGGAAGCTAAATATCAACCACAGTCACCAGCCTCGAGTTAGTCGGAGAAGCAGGGAACGGACGAGGACGATGACTACTGGACCCCTCGATCCTTCATAATCCCCGAGGATTCTGACGCCACCAATCGACAGTCGAAGAGCTGGAGTAAGTCATATTGATCGAGCATCTACCCGATCGAAAGGTATACCTGAGTACGGGGTTAACCCCCGAGCTCAGGGAAAAACTAATTAAATTTCTTATCAATAATATGGATTGTTTTGCTAGGTCCCACCTAGATATGACAGGGATCCTGCCGGAGATCACTACACATCGACTGAGCTTGGACCCGAAGTTTCGCCCGGTAAAACAAAAGAGAAGGCCCTAATCCGAGGTAAAACACGCATTCATCAAGGACGAGGTAGCCAAACTTCTCAAAATAGGATCCATTCGGGAAGTAAAATATCCTGAATGGTTAGCAAACGTAGTCGTAGTCCTTAAAAAGGGAAATATACTTCGAATGTGCGTAGAATATAAAGATTTAAACAATATATGTCCTAAAGACTCTTTTCCTCTGCCGAATATCGACCGCAT